TTTTCTCATTACAACCTTTCCTAATCAAAATTTAGTTTATGATTAGACATGCACTTAAGGGGAAGGTGATGTATTATTACCATTTACACAAAAATGGAAAATTTTGAGGAAAGTTGGAAAACAAGAAATAGACCTAACTTGACCGGTACCAGTGGGCCCGTGCAAAATCTCTGATCAGATTGGGGGACCGAATAGCATGCCAGCAAATTTGATTGAGGTGCACGTGGCGTCTTACGAGTGGGCCGTCAAAGATAAGGTACGATTTACTAGAAATGCTTTTCAATCCTAAATTCTGTTGTCAAGTTCCAACCGAACCGTCGGTTTAATTAGTTGAACCAAAATTTATAGCAACTTCAAACTAAATAAATAAATGAACATCAAAACTATAATATGTATTTTTTTAAAATTTCTTTTTCAATTGAATAATTGTGCTTTCTATTTGATGATCGTGATTAATTTTTAATAAATTGTGAAAATATGGGATTAATTTTTAATTTTTTTAAAAACAATAACACAATTAGATGGATTGTATATAGCATTGCTCTTTTGCAATTAAAATAAAAAACTAGCATGATTATGATACTAGCTAATAATAGAAAATAATTAATATTTTTTTATACATTTAATGATAAATTATATATTTTTTAATTTCTCTTTAGTTTATTGAAGGTATGAATTTAATATTTATAATTTAAAATCTTATACTCTTAATTAATTGAGTCACAAATAAAATAACCAATATATTATGCAAGTTTTTTTGTTTATTTTTTTAAAACTATATTTTTACATTGTTTTCTTATTTTTAATTTATTAAGTATTAAAATTGGAGAATACCAATGACTTAAGTAATTCAATTGTCATATTTTCTTATTAGAAATAAAATGTTTTAAATTTAAATCGCATGATATATAAGTGAGATAAGATAAAAGATGAGAGATAATTGTTTTTTATTGTAAACTAAAATAAAAAAAAAGTTTAAAAACGGAGAATGTATACTTGAATTATTAATGTGTTTGAACCGGTTCACTAGCTGTGGGTCCGGCTCATGAACTTGTTTGTTACATTAATGGAAGTGCCATGTGGTGCGCTCAATATCTTGTGTCTGTCCATGTCCGTGTTTAAAAGTTCTCTGCGACTGCGAACGCCTCTTCTTTAATGCCAGCACCTGCCTCCATTGCCAAGGACTTCAATCTGTCTTCTTTAACGGTAAAACTATCTCCTCTTACATCATCTTTCTGGGTTTTTTCCCACGTGGTTGGTTGGCTAAGATTGCACTTTTATATCATCTTTCTTCAGTTGTTGCTTGGTTGCTGAGAAAAGTTAATGCCACGCACGTTTTCTGTTCTTCAGATGAGATAGATGATCATATATGGGATTCTGTTATATAGGAGCTTCTAGGATTTTGTCTGTTGGAGTTTTGCAGTCATGGGTTTATGGGGGAATGATTTTCTTGAATCTCAGTTTGATTGTTCTCTTTGCAACTTGTGGGGTTCTGCTGTTTACTCATTTTTAAGTATTATCTGCTTGAAATTTGGCAAGTTATGTCACTTTTGCGGACTAAATTGGATTTATAGATGCTTATGGTGGGATTTTGTATTAAAATATGAGATCTTTAAGCTTAATCATTGTTACAGCAGCTGCTTAAGGAAAGGGAAAAAATTATTAGTCCCAAAATGATTAATTTTAAAGTTTATAGAGGTTTTTTTGGAGCAACAAGGAGTATTGAATATTTGAATTCATAAGCTACAGATCTAGATCATGTCTTTTCTTTGTATTTTCAATGATTGCTCAAACCATTTTATTTAATTCTCATCTCAGGTAAGCATGGCAGTGGCTCCACTATGCTACAAAATGCCTTATAAAGATATAAATCTTCCAAATGGAAAGCTACAAAGTCCAAGTCAGAGGGGTTTTATAAATAGCTGCTTTCCGATGTTAGAGGGTGCTAGGTGTTTCTCTTCTATTAGTAATTACTCATACAGGAAATGGCATGCCTTGAACCTTACTTCCAATATCTTAACAGAATTGGAGAAAGGAAGCAAAGTTAGAGTTGGAGTAGGTTTTCATAGACGGTCATTGCATGTTCAGACCATACCAAGCCACTGTAACACAGAAGATTGTCTTCGACTTTTCTCTAGGAGAGCATTACCAAAAGAAAATTCTGGCATTGTTTGGTACTCTTCTGAGTCTACTAGTACTGAAAGGCAGCTGAGATTATTAGATTCATATTTTGGAAAGCTCCAAGGTGACATAAAGAAGAACCATTCTGTTTCTTCTGATAAGGAAATTGAGTTGCTTGATAGAAGCTGGGAAAGCAATACAAAGAAAGGGCTGTTGAGTTTAGATGCTTATCTGGGAAAACTTAATAATGGTATGTTTTCCATAAGCCTAAAAATTTAGTTTTCCTGCACCTGTGTATACTACTTTAACATGGTGAGTAATAATATGAATGTTTTGTTGCTTACTTTCTATTGAAATTCAGAAGATCAGGTGTCAATGTCAATATCTGGCAACCAAACTAATGAAGGCAATCTGATGTCCACTCCATTGTCTGCCAATGAAGATGTTAGAACCAGTGAGGAGGGGAAATTCAGAAGTTACACAAGGTTGAGACGTAAGGATGTTGAGACTGCCTCAAGATCTCAGGCTTCACAAAAGCAAAATGGAACCTCTGATCTCTATTTAATGTAAGTCAATAGAGAATAGACCATTTTAAGTAATTCCACTAGCTGTGCTAAATCTTACATCCTTGCTCTTATTATTTTTATTTGGTGGAAATCTTATAGCTGGTGGGAATCTCTTATGCTTCTTTGTTCTTTAATGCAGAAGTATATTGGCTTCTATAAATATCGCTGTGTTTCTTTTTGAAATAGCCAGTCCAGTTAGAAACTCTGACCTGGGGCTCTTTTCATTACCTTCACTATATGGAGCAAAGATAAACCATCTAATTCTGGTTGGAGAATGGTGGAGGCTGGTGACACCTATGTTTCTGGTACAAGATTAACAATTGGGTTCGTGTCCCATATCTGTTCTGTTTTTTGCATCTCATCTAATTTCAAGATTAATGTTTCTGGGAATACTCCATTCTGTTGAATAAAAGCAGATTTTTTCATAGTGTCATGCTAGAGATTTGGATTCATCATCTAACATACAAGGTGGCATGCTATCATTTCTATGAATTAACTACTTTGGATTCATTTGGTGCTTGCAGCATTCTGGAATTCTTCATGTATTTCTTGGTTGTTGGGCACTTCTTACCTTTGGACCTCGAGTTTGCAGAGTTTATGGATCATTTACATTTCTCTTGATATATATACTTGGTGGAATTGCTGGAAACTTAACAAGCTTCCTTCACACACCAGAGCCAACTGTTGGTGGGACGGTGCGCAGCATTCACCTTTTTATCTATCTATCTATCTATCTACAACAACTTTTATTGAACAATATCATTTTAGGAATATGCAAGAGTATATTGTTCTTGAATTTTACTCTAAATCAACTTCTGAGTAATAATGTTCAGAGCCATTGTTAATATGGTCTTTGAAGTTTGCACACTGATGAATAATGCAAGAAAGATACATATGATTAATTGTAATGATGTACATTTTACATGGATTAGCATATATGTCTACACCGCATGACAGCACAAGGGAGTAACAAGAATTACCTAGTTGCATTTAGTTGTTTTTAGTTCTCATCTGTTAACTGAGACTATCATACCTGCAGGGACCAGTTTTTGCCATTATTGGTGCTTGGCTGATTTTCCAGTTGCAAAACAAAGATGTAATTGAGAAGGATGTTTCAGAGAAAATGCTTCAAAAGACAATAATTGCTACAGCTCTTAGCTGCATGTTAAGCAACTTTGGCCCAATTGATGATTGGTAGGATTTGCTAACTGAGCACTAGCATTGTTTCTTGAAATACTTGCTGGATATGGCCCATGCTAAAAACGTGGATTAAATCATCATGCAAACTGAAGATACAATCTAATTCCCACCCTCTTGGAAGTCTAACATCATCGGTTCAAGTCTTAGCACTAAGATGGAGTGGGAAAAAGGGGGTTCAGAAAGTTATCTCCCTTTATGTAACCTAACAATAAGGAAAAGAAAGGGTCCAATATCTGGTGCCTGAAACTAACATTAATGCAATTTATTCATTGTGGTTTGCTAATACACTGAAAAATTGCTGCAGGACACATTTAGGAGCAGTTTTTACTGGTATGGTATATGGCTTTTTTACGTGCCCTATTGTGCAACTTGATGATACATCTTCAACTTCAAGAGCTGGACAAGAAGAACAAATCATGCTTGTGGGGCAAGATGCAAGTCTTTGTAAATCACTTGCTGTGTTCACCATCTTCGTTATGGTTTTAACCTCTTTAGTTCTCTTCATTGAACCCCCTCTAGACACATCAGAGTTGGAGGAGTTCCTCCAGAATTGGAGGAAGTAAGGATGCAAAATCTTTTAGTCAATGTGTTTATACTCATGCAGCTCTTGTCAAGAACCCCTGAATTGGGAACAAAGATACAAAGATAAATATAGGTGGATGTGTAATAAGCTCTACATGGTGGCTTTTTTGTGTGTTAATGCCATTAATTTCCATTTTCCAAGGATTTCAGACTGCAATATACATACCTTACATATATTTTGAAGGTATGCTAGTAACATTACATAAGATCACTCACTGGAAAGCTTAGACCGTTTTTAGTTCAGGCTTGAAATGTCGCTTCTGCTCCTCTAACACCAGACTCTTAATTCTATTATAACTGCTATCTTCCTCATCATAATCAAGACAAACGCCTAACTGTCAATTACGCTGCTTCCAACATTTAACGCTATAATCAGGAGAGTATTCTTGAAGTCTACACCTCGTCCTTGAATCCTTGATTGTTTTGTTTGTCAACCTACCGTCCTCAAAAACTACTGAATAAAGACCGTTTGTAATTATGTGAATTTCAACATAAAACTTGTATATAACTTAAAATTAAGTGGTAATTGGTGAAATAACTCTTTTTATATTTAATCCATATATCTCTTTGTTATATATTTTATACGAGATTTTCTCATTCAACATCTTTATTTATTTATTTATTTACTTTTGTTTAGCTTCTTGATATCACAGTTTGTATGCAAGGAGATCCTATTAAAGTGCCTTGTAAGAATCTCTAAGCTTATTATCATTGCTGAAAGTTGCTGGAGACATCACTCTCTGGCCAATTTTAGGTGGAACCCATATCAATTTTGGAAGCCAATATCCTTCACAATAAGCTTAATGCTAATAAGAAACTGCTTGATTACTGCCTCTTTCACAGCAAACTTTGGAATCATTCATTGAAATTTCACTGCTGAGTCAGTTGCTATAGTTGTTTAGCAGAAGAAATGGACCTGGTTATCGCAGCAGCGACAATGGTTGCGGCATTGCCATTGGTTATGAACCCCAGAAGTCCAGCACCTGAAGATCACAAGACTCCTTGCAGATTATCCTTCTTTGCCATCTAATATGTTATGTGTTGGAAATGCACAACTTCTTTGTTTCCTTTTGTTTCAATTTTGTGAATTTATGTAGGGACACGGTCACACAGAAAATTACCTCCTAACTTGTGTAGTTAGAAAACAATTTTAT